GCTCCTGTATCTATCGTCATATTGCAGGGAACTCCATTAATATGTCGTATTGTGAAAAGTCCATTACTGCCGCCTCTCACTGCAGAAATCTGAAGCGCTTTAAACTGGGGCTTTTCATTATCTGGCAACCTCCGCCTCGCGAGATGGCCACTAATTAATTTCCCTCCTGCTTGCTAAGAGCAGTCTTAACATCCGTGCCCTGGGGTGTTCTGCAGTTTAGCCGTATGTGTCCTTCAGCTCCACAGTTCCAACATTTTAAGGTCGGTTCCTTTTCACTGATATTTCTTCTCAAGTCATTGAGTTGTCTGGTTATATCGTCTAGACGAACAGTGACTTGATCCCTTGGCTCCTGGACATGAGCAGCTCTGATTGGGTGGCGGTCTCTACGAGTTGCTTGCTGGGCTGCCTCGAATTTCATGGCGTACACTAGAGCGCTTTTTAAATCTTTTACATCCGCCGTTCGTAGAGCTTTCTGTATTTCAGTATCCCGGATGTCGTCGATAAAGTATTGCAAGAACAGAATTTCCCTTGTTTCTGTCGGGCATTCCGAAAAGGCGAGATGGGACAGCCTTTCAACACCCGTGGCAAGCTCCTGAAGTGTTTCGGTAGGCTTCTGTTGGCGAGATTTTAATTGGAGCCTGCTGTAGTCTTTTAAACACTTCTCCCCAAAGCGCAGCTCCAAGGCGGCGGACAGAGCTTCGAAATCTAACCTTTTGTTATCGGGAAGAGTCTGAAGGATATTCGCTGCATCTGCTCTTAAAGAAGCGGCGAGATGACAGGCCTTAGCTTGGGAATCCCATCCATTCGCATCCGCCACAATAGAAAATTGTGTCTTATACACCTGCCAGATATGTAGATAGCTTCAGAGAAGGATGAGCAAGCGTTGGTAAAAATTTAAAACCATTCGAATTGCTCCCTGCCGTTGCTACGAATTTCTTTAAAGTATCGACTTCTTTCGCAACGGCTGAAACCCTATCATCAATTTGTTGCTCGACAGCAGAAACTCGCTCTTCTATGTGTTCTTTTACAGAAGAAACTCTTTCTTCTATTTCTTCTTTCACCAAAGAAACTCTTTCTCCAATTTGAACTTTTACGGAAGAAACCTTTTCTTCAATATGCCCAACTTTGTTTCCAACCACATCTATTCTGCCTTCCATTGCATCGAATTTGGTTTCTATTATGCAGGCAATTTCTCTTTTCATTTTGTATTGACTTTCTTCAATCTTTACTTGTACGGCTTTTATCTCTTCATTAACAGATTCCTTAACAACTTTTATTTCGTCTTTAAACATTAATTGACCAGCTTGAATGGCCTTCATCTCTTCCTTAACAGATTCTTGTCCTGCTTTCATTTCTTCCTGTCCCGCTTCAATCTTTTCCTAATTAGATTTCATTTCATATTTCTTCTTTCAACGAGGCATAGGCTAAGATCTTAATTGCTCTTCCATCGCTCTTGTTATTGGCATTCAAATCCCACTTCTGACACCAAAAATTGTTGCGTGCGTACGGTTTCGTAACGAAATAAATGCACAAGTCCGATGAAAAATTAAGAAAATTTATTATTATCACTACAAATATGATTAAATGCCCTCAAATAATCGTGCAGTATCACAATATATCACAGTAGTTATCTTCTAACTACTTAAACATTCAATAGAACTTAATTCAAAACAGCTAAAGAAAGCTAATCCGCGAATTCGCTACAGTCAACAAGAGCAGTTTTCTAAACAAACAACAAACTAAGTAACTAACTCGAACTGAGAGGTTTTCCTCCTTTCATAAGATTTTAAAATCGCGTGCGAGAATTTTCTAGTAATTTCTCGAAATCAAAAAGAGATATTTATTAAATGTTTAATTCACGCGCTCTTGTATTTTCAATTTTCCGACTTAGCTTTCTTTTAATATTCATCACGCGCTGCACTGCGCGGGAAATAAAACCATTTAATTTATAATTGAACTAACATTAGCTTTTTAAATACCAAATTCGTAACAGTATTTTATCATGACAGTAGCACTCAGGGGGAACATAAATTACAAGCCTGTCGGTTCCAAAACCTCAAGGGGAAGATCGTTCTATACAGTTGGACCAAGGGGGGATTGGCTGTAAGGCTGCATTCAGACAGTGACGTAATTGTCACAGAGCCATAGTCACAAGGAATAAAGTGCAGGAGTTCTGTTCGTACCTGCGATACAAAATCTAAGGCCACACCCAATTTGAGAAGCTATATTTACACATGCGTTGGATGTGTATACAGCTTTCCCACTTCATTTCCCCATTCAGGTTTCACACGTTCGCTTTGATTGGCCGACACTTATCTCAAGTTGGCATAAAGTTGAAAACTTCGAACTTTAAGCCAAGAGCCCTAAACCAGATTTTGTGACATAGCACAGATTGGTTGCCTGGCAACACAGCTTGGCTTAAACTACTAATGCCCTTTATAACCGTCATCTGAGCTCAGCTTTAGTCCCTAGTCTGATGGTCTCAGTAGCAGGTGTGGCTTGCCATTTGACCTGTATTCCATATAATTCCATGGTATCTGTAGCAGTGCAACAGCCAGTTCAGTGTATAACACTGTATTCCATGTGAATCCTTCAGACTGAGGCTGCCCACATGGTACTGGTAGGGACACTTTGAGAACCAGTCAAATCTTCAGGCCAATAGTGTCACACCTCATGGTAGTTGATCGACCCATTCATGAGTTTTGAATCTGTCACTTGAAAGGTTGGAATGGGCAGCAGTGTAGTGAATTTTCTTAAGCTCTCAGTGGATGCTATGCCTGACAGACTCACCTCCCGTCCAATATGGAGGTCTATAGTTGAGGTCGGGCATCTACCTTAGATCGTGTTACCAGCTAATGCACAAACTAGTCCTGCATTTAAGGTAATAATTTTAGGGCATAGTTCTATGTAATTGAATGTATGGCAATGTGTTTTGTATACAAATGTTACAATACTTTTTTGCCCTTTCTTGTAGTTTCGTTCTTTTGATGAGGAGAGACCTTTAGCTTCCCTTGAAATTCATTGTTTTAATATATGTACGCTAAATACAAGGTTGTTATTGCGATTTTGATTGTCACATTGGCGTATTTATCTTCTAATCTAAATGTTTATTTGTTGTACAGAAGTGTAGCTCTTTTGATTCTGAATCCAGCAATGTTTAATTTGTGAAAATAGTTCAAGTAGAATGTCAAGAAACATGCCTGACTAGCTTTGGTAACAAAAAATTTATGCTAGATAGGTAATTTTGTGGAAGTTTCAGGAAAACAGGTTTTTGGAGCTCTAGATGCAATTATTCCTGAAGCTTCAAGAATACTTGGAAATATTATATAAATATTGCTTTACAAGTTAGTTGCTGGTTGATTCTGAGTGATTTCAGAAACACTGCGGCTCAGAAAAAGTTAATTGACTTGCCTTTTAGAATTTCCTCTGTGAATGATTTTGGTAATTTATATTTTTCATTTGTTAAGTAAGATTTGCCTATCATTTGAATTTTGAGTTATTTACAGCTGCTTATCTTGCTATTTATTATTAATATGCATAATAAATTGTCAGTTTCTTCCTGCTATATAATTTTTTTAACAAATCCTAGCCTATTATTATAAAAATAGATGCTAAATATGTTCATTTTATTGAATAATTTATTTCTGAGAAATTAAAATCTCCCCCACCTTTTCCGGGGTATTAAGATTATATATCACAGCTTAAGAGTAAAAGAAATACAACATTTTACATTTGAGCTAAAAATTGTTGGTCAAAAACATCTAGGAATTAATAATTGCACATTTCGAAAAGATTCTGGGAATTACAAAGTGTTAAATGAGATCTTTAATATAGGTTAAATGATGTTGAGTTAATATTTTAAACTTTATGATTTAAAAAAAAAATGCATTTCCACATTTTAGCTGTGTTGTACAACTATAATATCCTAACTTAACCGCTGGCCTGATTATCATGAGTTATCTCGGGTTCATATATATTGCAGTTAATTATTATCCCGAGAAAACTCAGGTGAAGCAGAATTTGTTAGTACGATTTCTTTTATCACGGTTTTACTCGGTCTGGAGGAAATGAAAGGAAATATTCAGCTTTGATTGGCAGTTTGCCAAATTTTGTTGGTTGCGTGGTTTTTTTTTTTAGGGACTGACCGTGTGTTTCCCTATTGTATAGTATACGTTAGCTTGTGGATTAGTAATGTATAAAGAAGGATCCATGCGTTGGGAAAAAATAAAATAATGGCGATGATGGAAGATAGCGAAAGCGATGATTTTTCAGATAGTGATTGTGAAGAGGCGGGGAAAAAAATCAAAAAAAAAAAAAAATCAAATCCAACGAGACAGTGCACTCTGTGCTCCCGTGAAAGAGATTCCAGCGGTAAGCCAGTAAGAAAAGAGACCAGATACCAGTGTAAAATGTTATGTATCACTCTGTGTTGCCCCTTGTTTCAAAAACTATCATACAAAGATTAATATTTAACTTTTTTTCGTTTGCCCGAGATAACTCGGGATAGTAAACTAATATTAAAAATAAATGCTTTTACACCTGCAAAAAATTAAAAATTCAACTTAACAACTAAATTAAAAACCTACATATTTTTTGTTTGTTTCGTTTTGTTTTATTTAATAATAAAATTAAAAAATGTGATGATTTTTCGCAATTTTTTTCAAAAAAATTTGTAAGGGAAGCGGTTAAGATTTTGGGGAGTAAAAGACTATTTTGAAGTTGTTTGTTGAAAAAGGGTAAAGTTAAATAAATGATTATAACCTTAGCTGAAGTTTGTAGCTGTCTGAGTGATAGAACACAATATAAACAAATGTCTTTGTTGCATAATCTGAAAACATCCTTTTCAATATAAGACCTTTAAAAAAATAAAAGTTTCAGATGTGTTGAAAATTTTGAAATTTGTAGGTTTTGATCTGATTTATTTATATCTGATTGTGTTACCTTTCTTTTGTTTGATTTAAATTATAGTTATGTAGCCTACTTTCTTATTCCTGTTACAGAAAAAAATGGGTGCTTTTCCCACCCGAAGACAGTGCATTTATGTATCCTTCAAGAATACCATATGAAGAATCAACAGTCTTCAGTGCAGTAAATATATTAAATCCAGATTTATCTGTCCATCCTCTTTTTAAAGTAGGAATCTATATTACTTGCTTTAAAGAATATACTTAGGTTTTCAATATATTTTATTTATTTTTTTGTCTAAAAATATATCAATTTATCAAATTTTAGGGGAATGTTCATTAAGTTGTGAAAATGTATGGTATTTTTTAAAATATATTTTTAATTCTCTGTGTTAAATGAAAGTAATCTACAAAGCTTGGCTCATATAAATTAAAGGATTACTTGCTTGTGTTTCATCTTTAATTCTTGTCTTATAGATACTTTCTAGATTCTTTTTTAATAATACATTTAATTTTGTATGGTAATTTAAGAGAGTTTTTAGGGGAAAGGACAGTAAATTTTAATCAGTTACTGCAGTACAGCTAGAAATTCCCTTTACACCTTAACTAAATAGGGCATGGGTTCCCAAATTCACCAGCCCCTTATCCTCGGCCACCTTGAAGTCTGACCTTACAACAGTGGAGGTTTGTTTTGTTGTTGAATCCTCCACAGTGACCCTGTGGAGGACCATCAAATCATACATCAGGAAGAAACAATATGTGGACAGTGATACTCTGTGAGCATATGTGCTTGAAGCTTTTCAGCATGTGACACTGAAGTTGCTATTGTGGGTGAGTAAAAGAACATTCAAGCGTATCAGCTGTACAGGGATAAAGGTGGTGCACGTAATGGAAGTTTGCTCAAATAAACTGTTAAGTGTTATTAAAGTTATAACGAATTTATTGCTTGTGTAAAGAGACTTTCTAGTCACCTGATGTTTTAATTTCACATGTTGAAGGCCTACAAAATACTTAGGATTTAATGTATAAAATGATTCTTTTTTTTTTTTTTTTTTCTTTTTCCAAAATTGTACTTAATTTTCATTATAGCCTTTGGATATTCAAGCTGATATCAAATGAGATGACAATTTTTATAATTTTACATGAATTTCTTTCTATATTCACATGGTTTTTTTCCCATGAATTGCATTTTTTATATAAACAACTATTCAGAAATTTCCCGTGTCCAGAATGTGACATTTCCTGAGCATTCCTGACAGTTCAGCTTTTACTGTAAAAATAGCTGAGTAATATAGTGTAATGTTTTACTGTAGTAATATCCATTATATACTTTTTAAGTAGTATTTTTCTTTTGTAATTTTATTTCTAATTTTTACCCAAATAATGTATAATTATTGCATGTATAAATTTAGTTTCAGATGATTAAAAATCTTGCTTTTTCTTTAATTTACTACTCAGGCTTTAAGGCTTTAAGTATTACTATAATTATGTTTTTTAGAATTCTCATCCACATATTGTGATTTTAAATCCTGGTGATGCTTTATTTGTGCCGAAGCACTGGTGGCATTTTGTCTTGTGCATGGATGATGTCACTGTCAGTATTAATAATTGGATAAAATTGGTATTTATCATTTTCTATATATTTCTTCTGTTTATTGGTTTTAAACTTTAGAGTTTAATTGTTTAAAAATTTAGTATTTTAAGGTGGTAATTAAAAGGAGAAATAAATAAAGTTACATTAAAGATAACCTTGTAAAAAAAAATGTTATTTATTTGATATATTTTTCATTAAAAAAAATTTTTTTTAGTGCAAACTTCCAAAATAATGCTTGCATTCAAATTTGTTGATGCGTGTATTTTTAATATGTAAATATTAAAAATTTTATGTTTATTATATCTTGAGATACATTTCATTGTTCATTAAATAATCTTTTGATGTTAATAGCTGCAGTTAAAAAAAAGGTGCCTTTTTAAAATTTTATTTACTCTTTATAAATCCCTCTAAAAATTTAATGCAGTGGAAAATTTACAATGCCAAATTTTAAGTAATAGTGCTAATAAAATTCTGAAGTTATGTTGCATGAATTATTTGTTTCAGTTCTTGTCATAATTTTGAATTGTAGTAATTACCATAAAATGCATATGTATATGCAATGCAACCATTAGTGTTTGTTTATGGTGTAATACCTCTTGTTATCAAGAGTTTACAAGTATGAAATTCCTTTATGAACCAGTAAGATTTGTGAAAATGCAGTTGTCATATTTTTGGAATATACTTAGCAGAGATGTGATTTTTTTTTAATCCCTTCAAGAAGTAAATTACAAATGAAGAACCTTTATAATATACTTGATTACAACTTTAAATGGAATAACCAGATGAAGAATTTTGTATTGTCCTTACTCCTACCTCTGGAGATGTCAGCTGCTTTATCCTTATATATATCAATATAATGTTTTCTCTTTGGTGCGCAGTATTTGCATCCCCCCAAAAAGATTGCCTTTTATGGATGTTATCTGATGCCTTTTGGCTACACACAAATCTAGCACTTCTTTATCAGAAGAAATGTGTGACATTTCAGCTTTGAAGAATCATCTAGCATCACCAAAATAAAGAACCTTTGTGGTTATTCATTGTTTTCATTACAGCCTTAAATTCTTAGGTCAGGAAATAAATCTTGTCTATATTCTAAAGAGTGATAGGATTTTTCTAAATCTGTTGCTTTCTCAAGATTTGAGAATATCTAAATCAGTTCCTTTCAAAGAAAAAAAAATGATACTTTCAAGATCTAGAAAATATGTATGATGTAAAGAAGTATGCTTAAGTCATTTTAATTATCATAGTTCATTCAATTAATCTAGATTGAAAATAAATTTCTTAGGTCCATAAACATAAGTAGTTCATCATTCTTCTAGTGTAATTAAAAGAAGAAATAAATAAATAAACTTCTCAGTAGTTTAATAATCTAAATAAACTTCCCAGTAGTTTATTTTTTATGCAGAGTCCCCCCCAGGCAATTTTTATATCCATGGTATTTCCACTTCAGATTTTGTCAAAACAGATAGATCATCCATTTATTTAATGTCACTGAGAAACAGCATTCACATGCATAAAACTATCCACAAATTAACATAGCAATTCTTCTCAGTGCCTGATAACTCAGAATTCAAAAGATCTGAACTCATCTTAACTCAGATTCAGAAGATCTAAATTCTTATAGCTAAAAATAACAATCTTGTTTATTTCTTCCAAACTTTTTCACTCCCTAACTATGTGTGTGTATGTGTTACTTTGTATAAATATATTGTATAGCCTCATTGTCTCATAATTAGAATCAACTAAAATTCCATTTACATAATGCTTATTTGCATATTTTTTTTAAATTCGTTTTCCGATTTGATGTAAAAGTATCATAAAAACTTGTAGCTTTTTGCATGTAATTTTCAGCTGAAAAATTATTCTGTAAATGCAATTCATATTCTATAATAATTAAAGGAAGAATTTAAGTTGCCTTTATTGGCTTATATTTTTAGGATTCTGATCATGAAAGTAGGCTTGAAGAGAGTGTGACAAGAGCATTAATGACTAGTCTTATTTCATGTTATGAACCAAAAGGAGAATCTTGGTTGAATTTGAAAGAGGTAATCATAAATTAATTTTTTGTGTTACATTACTATTGCTTTTTCATTCCCCCTAAATACATTTTAAATTATAATTTATTTTATCTGTTTCTTCTTTTACTTAGTTACTGTTATCTAGTTCTATCACCTATTTGGTATAACTATTTTATGCATTAACAACATTATTTCTTTTCCTTTCATTTATTGCTTTTATATCTAGGCAAAATCTGATCATTTTTCCTTAAACTGTGCACAATTTAGTTATAGAGATGTTAACTCCTATGGATTTTCTAAATTGTTGTTAATTTCTACTCTCAGTTGTGGAATTACAGATATAAAAAAGATTATTTTAGAAAATGCCAACTTTGAATCACATAACTGTTTTGTGCGAATGAGTAAAAATGAGATATCAACACTCACAGTTCTGCTAATACCGTGATCAATATACAGGCATCCCTTGACTTTCTCAGATAATTTGCAGACTGGTTCCTGAAAATGTATGCGAATGTTGAATGTTCAAAAGTAGAAAGATGTAAAAAACATTAAAAGTTGTATATTAAAATATTTATTTATAAATAATATTATTTATTTATGAATATGCATAATTATGTAAATGAGGTTTGTTTAAGCACTTTCATGTGTTTTCTGTATAAACTTGTTGAAAGTTAATTAAATACCACCATTTTTTTTTTTTCCTTGGTAAAGAATTCTTTAATATGCTTTCTATTTCTCAATTACCCAATGTCCTTAAGATATGCATTCTCCATTGAGATTATATTCTTCCTTGATAGTCAAAAATTTGTCAAGATGCATGAAGGTTTCATTCATATGTTTGACTGTCAAAGTCTTGACAGTTTATCAACAACTTCTTCCACACTAATTGTGTATCTAACTGAACTCTTGTTGCTCAATTAAGTAGTCATTTAACCATATTGAGTGAGATCCAATTAACTTATTAACATCTTCATTGTTTATTATCTTTTAATGGGGCATCCTTTGCTGTATCAACAGCTGTGTTTCCTATTATACCTGTATGTCCCCATACCCAATTCAGGCTAATTGGATGAGTATTCATTTCCATAGTTATTGTTTTTTTTTGGAGAGTTTGAATAAGTAAAGGTTTTTTTTGGGGGGGGGATATAATGTCTTTAAAACACTTTGGCTACATGTATAAATGCTCACATATTGTAACTTATTACTTTTGAGAAAAGCATTTAGCCATAAAAAAGGCTTCCAACTTGGTAAACTGTGCTTGAATCATTTAGTCTAAATTTTTTACATATTATGACTCGTTTATCTTCATAAGCTATAAATGCAGCTCCAACTTTATCTTAGTCCTTAGAAGCAATCCTTTGGGAACATTCATATGCAAAATGATTGGTGTAGCTTGAACTGGGTGTTTGCTCAATTTTGGGATTTCAAATTCCACTAACTTGGAATATTTAACTCATTTATCATGCAATCCCCTTGAAAATGAAAGAGGTGGAATAACTTTAATTCCTGTTCTGCTTTAATATCTAGTGGAAGTGCTCCTACAAGAACTTGAAAACAGTTGCTGGTGTAGTACAAAATGCTTTAATTATATGCAGTAATACTATTTGTTGAATTTCTAGCAACATATTTATTGCTCTCACCATGCCGCTGTAATGCCACCATGCAGGGCAATCGTATAATATTAATCTTTCAACACCTCTTACATACAGTTCTTTCCATCCATATTTTCCAAGTCTCCATTTTTGCATCATAAAATTATTTAAATAGTTTACAGTTATGTGAATTTGGTCTCGCATTTCCAAGAGGTACAGAATCCAGGTTAATTTTTTTTTTTATCAAACAATGAGTTCTGGATATTTTAATCTGTCATTATTTTGAATAGAGACATTCTTCCATCATAATGTTTGCGGAGTTTTTACCAGTTTTCAAGAACCCTTAGGAAATGTTATCATTTTTGTTTTAGTGCTATTAAAATTAAGTTTATATTTATTGCTGCATTTTTCTGTATTCTCTGATGCTTTCCTTTCTAAATGTGTATGATTTCTACGACCAACAATGATGATAAAATCATCGGCGTATGCTTGAAGAGTGACATCACTTCCTAAGTCAAGCTTTAATGCTGTATTAGCCCCAGTGTTCTATAAAATGGGATTTAAATTAGATTATAGCAGTGTAGCCTTGTAATAATTTTTAAAAACATTGACACTGTTTCTTTTGTAGATGACTTTTCTATTATGAAGATAAGTAAATTGTAGAGATTTGCAGGACAGTTAAGATCTTGGAATGTAGCTAGTATACTTGGGGCCCAAAGGTTCTTAAAGGTATACATCACATCTAGAAAAATTACAAAAGTGTGCCAATTTCGAATATAATTATCTTTGATGATGGTTATAAAAGATCCAGTGCATCCACTATTCTTTTATCTGGTGTACAGTTTATTATTCAAGAGAAAGTATGTGAGTCTTTGTGGTAGTAATTTATATAAAACTTTGCCCTACTTGGAAAGAAGGCATATTGGTTGCTAAACAGTAGGATATGATTTATCTTTTGAGAAAATAGCGCTAAATTAATGACTTTACATGACTCAGAAAAATAGCTAAACTTACGGCAAGAGTTCATGATATGTAAGAAAAGTTTGCTATTTGCCAGATAAAGTTCTTCAACTAATTCTAAATTTATACCATTGATGCCTGGTGTTCTATTTTTATTTGTAAAGTAGAGATCATTTTGAGTTCTAATAGTAAATTCAACTTTTTCTGTTATCAAAGTATGTTCTTCGTTATCTGCCAATATATCATCTTGTGGGAAGTGAAAGGAAATAATGGATTCTACTGTTTCTTGGACATTTGTGTTAATGAATCATCTTGTTTCTTTAAATGTGTCCTTGCTTTATTTTGTGTCCTTAATTAATCTTGTTTCTTTCTTTTTAACCGTCTTGTTTCTTTAAGTTGCAAAGGAGATATGTTTTTTTCATTTTACCAAGTGCCAAACAGTGAATTGAAGGAAAGATTTTCCCAAAAATTATTCCAAGAATTAACCTTGCCTTTATGAATATTACACTTATAAAGTGCTTCTTCATTTCTGTAAATGATGTGTAGTCTATTTCTCTCCATTTCATTCCGAGTCTCACTCTGATACCTTTGTCTCCATGTCTTTAGCTTTTTCCTCTGAATGGTTAATTCTTTTGTCCACCAAGGATGTGATATAGGAAAGGTTTTGGAAATTTTATTTGTAATTTTTGTATTATTATATAGATTATGTAGTTCCTCTGTGGTCTGTGTAATTAATTTGTCTGTTTAATTTCCTGTATATAATATACTGGAAGTTAGTAGATAAACCTTCCCTTAAAGATATCCAGCCGGTCTGGTGCAGTTTCATTCTCTGCTTATTGTGCAGAATTAAGGCATTGTCTAATTCAAATGAAAGAATGGAATGATCGCTTAGACTACTTTTATCTTCCAGCTGTTATTAATATTTAAAATTGCCATGGATTTTTACCATAGTGAAATCTATCCATGACTCACCTCAATTGGCTATGCATGTGGCTGGACTGTTGGGGTCATTACACAATGTAAAATATGAGGCAGCTACAAAATCACTTATTTTAATCCCTCTGAGGTTTCTGTGAGAATGGCCTCAGAGAGGATGTTTGGCATTAAAGTCACCTGTAATGATAATTGAAATAGTATTGAACTTCCATGAAAGACTTTGTATGTCCATTAGTATATCATCTAAAAGCAAAGATGGTGGGATATAGACAGAGCAAATTGTAAATGGATTGGGTCCTACAATTAAAACATCTACAATGTACTCTGAATAATAAATCTCCAAGACTGAGAGACTGAAATTAGATACTATGATTGCCGCTTTTGGATTGGAGGTCTTTGTTGTGTGGACTATATTTGAGTGGAAAACCTGTAAATTTCCTTTTCCATATATATATATGAGTCTTGAATACAAGACAATGCCAGGGATTTTTCTAAATCTAAATTTGCACTAATTTGTAGAATCACATTCTTGCAATGCTGTATATTTAATTGAATAATACATAATTTATCCATAATTTATTTTCTTTTATATAGTTCTAATTTTTTTTTCAGACAACTACACAATTTGGTTTTAGAATCATGAATAATACTGAAATGTAATTTATACTTTTAAGTTGCTGGTTTACAATTAATACAATAAGATTCCGGAACTGAACAATCTACTCTGCTATATTCCGTGTGTCCACATTTAGAGCATCTTTGCTTGTCATTGCAATATTTTTAATATGCTCGTAGTTAAAGCATTTTTGACACTGTAATAAATTCTTGTACCATATTCCTTATCCACTGGAGATTTACACATTGATTCTTAACCATAAGCTTGAAAAATTTGGGATCAATCTTCAGCACCCAATTGTTACCAAATTTTTCTTTCATTGAAAATTTTACATCCAGCAGAGAGGCTCCATAAACATTGTTTTGTGTCCTTATAGTATATACAAGACATTCTTTTGTAAGTTCTTCATTTACATTGTATTGTTGCATTCTGTACAGGTTCATGGATTTGGAGTGATGAATGACAACATTTGATTAAGAATGGAAACACAGTTTATTAGCCAGTATTACTGAGCTCCAAAAACACATTTACAGTCATTGAAAAACTACAACAAGCATGCTGAAACAATGAGTAACAAAAGCTTCAGGCTATAATGGTGAAGACAGCTTTGCTGCAAAGCACCAGAGTACAGTTCCCAACATGGTTCGTTCGTTCTCAGAACTCTATATACTCTCGAGGCTCTCCACACTGCAACTCACGATGCACTCGATAGCTCTGGATGCAAGAACTCGCAATACACTGATGAGACACCTCAACACTAGACTCAATCAACTCAATGGCACTATGAGACTTTCTCAATAGACTCACGATTGACTGTTACAGCAGGGCTTATATAGCTTTTCGGTTGCTTTTGAGAACATTCTCAGCCAGACCTGTAAGAATTTGTCGCAGAATTTTTTCCATTCGTCTATGGCATATCACCA